CAAATCTTTCCAGTTTTGAAATATGCGTGATGTTTTCTTGTATTGTTTACATATATATTAAAAAAAAGCAACCTGCTCGTTCATCTGTTGCTTGAGACGCTCAGCCAGTTGGGAGTGTAGCGTAATTTCATCATCTTTCTCATCCAGCTAAAATCACACTTTTTTTATCAATACCAACGCCACATTTACCAGTGACAGTGTTGGAAAAAAACACCAATTATTTCTAAGGCACGGGATGCAGTGAGTATATTTTTCAAGAAAAATGACGAAAATAGCGAAGAAATGAACGCCAGAACAGTCAGCAGGTTAGCAGTCAGCTGATAAAAACTGATCGCATCAACTGTAGGAATAAGCCATAAGCAGCAAAGGCATAAAAATCCGCTTGAGATGAAAAATCAAATGTCAGGCCCAACTTTGTTCAGCGCCCTATCACCTACAATTTCAGGAAAAAAGCCAAAGCTACGTCAGTACTTTAGGACCTAACAAAAAAAAACGTGAGCTCAGAAAGAACAAGCCCAAAAAGCTCTTAGCTCAGCTCAAAAGACAGGCCTAAACTTTCGAGTACCGCATGCATTAATTCTAATAATTCCTAATATAGCAACTGCTGTCTTTTGGCCCCTTTAGTACGGCAGTTGTGAAATTTTTAGCGCAAAAACGAATCGAAGTGACCTGTTGGTACAGTGCCGCACGTTCTTCTTCGTACTTCTTACGATCTGCATCGGTGATTGCGCCAATGGCCGACGTAAGCAGTGGCACCGATGCAACTGATACGGACCGATCCAGGGATCCCAGCACCGAATCGCAGACTGACGGAGAAAGCGCTGCAATTGAAACAGTACTCATCTTCGACTTCAAACAAACAGCCAAACACATGATGAAGCAAAATTCCACGGGGCCTTCCCTCATGTAATCAACATCACTCAGACTGATGATATTGACCGCTTAAACCACTTAGATGTAACCAACACGCAGGACGCCTTATGCCAGAAAATCTTGTTTTTCTGGACAGTAGCTGTATACCCAACGATTGTTTTCAGCTATCTACATGCACTGCCCCCAATCCTCTCCCCCTCCAAGATTTCCAGTGAAGTTTTCATCGTTTTTTTTCCTGCCTAACGTTAATTAAATAACTAATTTGCACTGAAGGAAACAGCAAACTAACATTCGGCGCCGGGCGGGAGCTGTAGATTGGCCACAACTCCCTCCAAAAAGTTGATCCATTCTGCTTCCGGCACCTTGTCTCCTTTCCGCCATCGCGTCAATTCGGCCTCCGCCGCCAGCAACTGCTGTTTCAACTTGGCCACCTACAAACAAATTTCCTGTATGGATGAGCACGACACACTACCAGCACTGCAAAAAATTTCAGTGGGAGTCCCATACCAACAAGTGGTGATGCTGACGAAGAAAATGACCTCCAAAGAGGGTATTAGGTAACTTATTGTATTATTATATGTTTGTTATTATTTTACTATTGTACTTATCATATTATTATATAGTATTAGGTATTAGGTAACTCAACGGTAACTTTTTCACTGGACAACCGTACCAATCCGGATCTCAAAACCTCAAATAGCTGGGGATCTTACTGTCAAAAATTCAATTTTCAGGCTGGTTCAGCAACTGACTCATAGCCCCATACAGTTTTAAAAATTCCAGTGAAAGAATATCTTTTTCTCCTCTGTTCATTGCTAGCAATTTCTGAATAATAGGAGAATTAGAATAAATCAGTTAAAAAAAATAATTGACGAGCGCACCGACTGCCTCTGCCAAGATGCGTTTTTTGCACAGTTCCCGGCATGTTTTTATCGCTTACGGCACTGGTTTTCCCGGCAGAGCTAAAAGACTTGAGACTGGGCACCACGACTATCAGCAAACATTTCCTTAAAATTTCAGCTTTCTAGCTTTTCTGGTTCCTGAGACAGCAACTTGTCCGCAAAAGATGTGAGAACCACGAACAACTGGGGGCTGAGTTTGAACTCATTAAGTCTTATTTGAACGGAGACATCCCCTTAAAATCCCAACTTTGTAACTTTTGAAGTTCCCGAGTAGCAACTTTACCCGCAGGAACTAAACAGGTCCGTAAGTTAGAAACACGTGGGCAAGAGCGTCTCTTTTGGAGATATGAGCCCGTATATACATATAAATAAATTAAGTTCCTAAAGTTTCGGTCTTGTAGCTTTTACAGGTCTCGAGATGAAAAATCGGTACGGACGAACACACAGACAACCCATCGACAATATGTGTTTTCTGCATTGCATAGATGCAAAGAAAGCATAAAAACTACTTCATCAAAAACAAGTGATGACTTTCTCTACTGTACCGCCGTACGGTAAAAATGTGTCTCGCACAAAGCAAATTACCCGATCTTTCTCGCGCTCGTAACGTCGTTTCCATTCCTCGGCAGTGAGCTCTTCGTTCACAACCACAACATTCTTGATTGTCTTCGCCCGCTGCCCAAACATCAACGTGCTTTTCGTTTCTGCCTCGTTTACCGATGCTGGCGAACAGCATATAACAATTGTTGTGCGTGAGTTGCCTCCTAGCGATTCTTGTAAAATGCGAGTCAGCTTGCTGTCACGATAGGGCACATGCCCTTTCTGCAATACATCCCAGAACTAACATAACGCAGGCTTGCTCCTCTCATTAAAATGAATGATTTCCCTTATAAAATTGTTGTAAATTTTATAGTTACAAATTCCGTTCATGTATTACTGCACATGATTCTACTCAATAAAGCGTTTTTCTGTGCTCGGAGGAGGAGTAAGCCGATTGCAGCATCCACGTTGACTGTGGATGCCGAAGTTTCGAAGGCGCAAAGTAACTGTGTTCAATTCACATCAATGGCTTCTCAAAACGATTAGAGAGGGTTGTCAAATGCTTTTGTTTCTAGAAAAAGCTGTTGAACAAGTACTTACTTCATGAGATGAATATTAAAATCGTACAATATTAGTCAAAGCAAATGGAAGGTATTTTAAGGTACTACCGTATGTTTCTGGGTCTATCCCATAAGTAAAATATTTTGGGGAAGAATGCACATAACTTTAAATATTCATCAAAACAATCTGAACCCTTTTTATTTTCTTTCATTCATCACCAGCACAGGCCATGGGCGATTACCGCTCCCCTCCCCCCCACGGTGCTTTTCCATTTCAGGCACGAATTTTGGCGCCCATCCGGGTAATACCCTAAGCTA